GTAGTGGATTTAGTCAAATGATTTAAATATTCAGCTCAATCTTAACACGATTCTGAATATATTATAATTTAATATAGTCAATAACTTGTATTTATCAAAATATTATACAAAATAAAGGCCAAATAAGTCGAATCGAAACTTGCCACTTCGTAGCAAATTTATGCAATTTTTGGTATCACTACAACCGAAAGAACTGCAATGTAGTAAAGTACGTCACAACTTTAGCTATCGATAAGTTAATTAAACCATTCGGGTTTGTCTGCCAAACATGTTTTTATTTTTGGTTTAGATTTTATAATAAAGTATTGCAAAAAGTACTAAATTTTTCTTTTATTTCTTTAATAATAATATTAAATAAATAAAAACGTTTCGGGATGATAAAAATTAATTAAAGTTGAATTAAAAGCGATAAAATCCGTAAATAATAGTTTATTCAATGTGTAGTGTTCGCGTAAATTTAAGAAATCATTAAATAAAAATAGTTTATTCAGTAAACGATCATACGTAAATTATAAATGGGGACGGGGTCTATTTTCAAGTATAAAAAACTGTGTTAGGAGACTCCACGCTTCCATAGCACTTTACATTACTATTTGCATGATCTTTTCATAATAGTTAACTATAAAATTAAAATAAAAAACTAATTATATTCACGCCAAATGTACGCGCGCGCGCGCGTGTGTGTGTGTTTGTGTTATAAATTAATTAAATTATATCATAGTGCCTAAAAGAGCCTCAGTATCATCATCGATCTTATGAAATAGCCATTTGGTTAAGGTGGAAGCGCAGGCCGTTCGTACATACATTTTTTAATCAAAATATACACTAAACACAGACACTCTTTCTTTTAGTCATTTTATCACTTCTCTACAATGAAATGTGTACGCGTTTGACCTTTATAGGCAATAACTTACATTATATACTGAGAAAAACAATAGTGAAATCCCGGAAAAATTTGACACTTCTTTAGTAGTGTGCGTGACTTTTGACAAGCAAACGAAAGGCGACGTTTAAACATTGGCACGCTAGATGGCATGCAAGTGATCTTAAATAATTCTGATAAATCAATATTTTAAGTTCAATAACTGATTAATTTCCTTTCCAACCGTTAAAAAAAACAGTATAAAATAACATAAAACTAATGACCTTAGACACCTATGTTTTTTTTTTTGTAAACAATTTTATTACTTATTATTGTTGTGTGGCAACATAAATACCAAAAGTCGTAGGTAGAGCGACGATGCCGTCCTTCCTGACCTTGAATTGACGAAAAAAAAGCGTCGCCAAACTTCATTCACTTGTTTGACTTGTTATAAAATACATTCTGACTTCGGTTGTCACGCGCTATGATTTTCGCGCGGAATTTCTATATATATTATACATATTTTGTATGCATGTTTTCATTGATTCGAATTGCAATATTTCTCTAGTATATATTTGAGACTATATTGTAATTTATCGTAGGTATAGTAATTAATTATTCTAAAAACGCAATTATGTTTTCGGTGGTATTAGAAACAGCAGGCTAGCCTGTGATTTTTCTGAAATATCGTCACAATACTGATTACCTACGTCATACGTGTCAGTGTTTCATATATGAATGTGTTTCAATATGTTTTTGATCAACAATAAATACAATTATTATAAATCGGTAAACTACCAAAGTAGTCACAAAATTAAAATTGCAAACATTTGCTAAATATGGTTTTGCCGGGTTACATTAAACATCTTTTTTCGCATTTTGCAAACAGTTTTAGACAGACACACATTGGGTGCGTTTGGCAGAAAAAAGCGCTAGCAAGCACTTATAAGCAAAATGGCGATCGTAAGCGGTAAGCGCTGTCAAATCGTAAGTAGCTATTTTCTCTAGGACACGAAGTTAGTTTTAACCGGGGAACCTAACTTAATTTAAATATATGTTTGTAAAGTATTCATATTAAAAATTTACCAATCATGAATTTTTAACAACATGTATATGTCTATTCATGTCATTATATTACTTAAAACTAATATTGCACAAAACAACTTATAAACTCTACTTCAAAACAAACAAATTAAATAAGCAAAATGGCGGATTGTGTCAGCGCTACTGAAGTAGCAATCGTATCCTGGCCGAAAACTATTTCAGCGCTTGTAAGCGCTTGCTAGCGCTTTTTTCTGCCAAACGCACCCAATTATTAGTTTGTTATATTTTGTAGAGCTCAAGTTCACGGTTATGGTGCGTTCAGAAACAAATATAATTCTGTTACATAAAAAGCGTGCTTTATTGTTTATAAATAAATAGCTTATTCTAATCTGAGTTATACTTTTCTTATTCGTCGGCCAATTCTACCAGGAATATAAAGATAACATTGAAATAAAAAGATAAGTAAATTTTTGTACATTTTAGTGTTCTCGATATTGTGTTCTGAACGCAACCCAATTCATATAGAATTGAAGGAAGATTTGTAGGTATATATATTGTATATTTATATTTTTGTTTTACTAAAAGCTTTTGTTGAGTGCTTCGAAATTAGGAAATATTATTTTCACCTTCCTGGTTATTATCACAAAATAAATCGTGTTAACTATAGATTTGATGTTATCTCTTGTTTATGAATTATAGTTTCTAACGTGTTGGTTATGAAATGTCTAATTATTGTAATAATTGGTACTGTTACAAATCATCAGTGTTATTAGTTTTGAGTGACTTCGGTTTTGATAAAAAATTCAATAGTGTAATGTAATAAAATAAAACTGTGTTATATTGTAATCAATGTTGACATAATTTATTTCACAAAGTTATAAATCAATTAAATAGTTTACGCCAACAAATATAACTTTTATTTTTATAACAATCGTACATAGCGTTTTGTAGTTCTGCCTACCCAATCTACACATACAGAAAAATTAAAAATTTGTTTTTTTACATACACGCCATCTAGTGCTTCGTAAACGCTTCGTAAAAGCTTCGTAAACGTAGGGATACATCTGGATGTGTAAACGACACTATATTCAGTGACAGATGTTATAATCAAACTTTGTGTCGAATTGGGTGGATTTTGAGGCAATGATATGACCCATTCCAATAAAATGTAATATCCGATAACCGCAAAGTCTACTCCTACGACTTAATAATTTTCCAATTACACAAAAACCCAAATAAAATAAAAAATTCAGCGCCATCTTGTGGGAGAATGGCTGGGAGCAGTCCGTAGATTTCGCTTTAAAACATATTTGCAATTATAGTAGTTAAGGTGATGAATTTTAATGTTTTTGTTAAAAGCGTTGTATAGAGTCGCAGACAGTTTTACATATTGCCTCCTAGCTAAAACAGATTTAACAGCCACAACTGTAGCCACTACGTTTTTCCTTCTTTTGGCTACAATACGACGGTTTAACTTTATACCTTTATGCAGCCTTGGAACTGAACATAAGATGTACAGTTTCCTAACAGTACGTACATTACTCACGGCATAAAGATCTTCTATAGGGAATCTTTTTGGTTTAAAACGCATAATTTTTGGTCTGTGTGTCCTTTCAACTTCTAGAAATTTGGTTTTTGTAGCTCCAAGCCCACAAACTAATAAGAGTACTAACGTAATTGTGCTCCAAGCCATACAGAAATACAATGTACTAAGATAGATTGAGCCAAAGCAACACATATTTGGTAAGGTAACTTTTCGTCTTAGTGATTTAAATGTCCATGCTTAGACCATTCAACCCAATGGACTTGCCTTGTATGATTATTCCCCACTGCGCATGTAGTGGATTTAAAATCTTGTAATAATAAAAACGGTTTGCGGAATTGATTTTATCATTACAGGAATCGTTTCCGTCGTTGTAAGTGCTCTTTAAAAAGCCGATTTGTGCGGTTAACGTGTGCAAAAAAAGTCTAATACTTCAAATTTACAAAAAGATGGCATTACATTCCATATGGATGTATTTTATTGTGATATATGCTTTCTTTCTGTTATAATAATTTACAATAATATCATAAATAATAATCGAGAACTATATCGATAATCGATTATCGATAATCGATTCGATTCAACCATAATATTTCATAAAAATCGTAGTGATAATTGAAATGTGAGAAGCGGACACCCCACGAGATTAGTTATATATTTTTTTTAAGTCAACCCTTACCTGTTACAAATTAGGTTTATAATTGAACACGCAAGCCCGACGGCACTACTTAGGAGACTATGGTTCATAAAAGATAGCTTGATCTCTGCGACAGCTGTCAGTAAAAATCACGCCTATGAATTTCTTAATAGTACAGACAGTAGCTATCAATGTCATACTTTATGGGCATGCACTAATTAGGTCGGCATTTTATTATGAACTATAGTAACATAATAAAAACAACAACAGTGTAACGAGACTACTTAACCCTGCAGTGTTCGCGTCTTATAAAATAACGTAAATGGTCGCGTGGACTACGTATGTAGTCCAATTTAAAATAAGAAAGCTTTAAAATATCATCTAAAATGTATTTTTATTTTATTATACAAATAAAATTTATTTTTATTTTATTACAAAAATATGAAACAGTCGACGAAATTAAAAGTCCATGGAAATTGTGTAAGTCTTTTAATAACCTAGCGCAATCTCTAAATATGTATATTTTGCTGTCCAATATCACTGCGTTATATCAATACTTTTCATTTAGACTGGCACTTTTTTATTTGTGGCCTAGCCTAAAATACTCCTCAACGATGTTCTGTCATATTTAAAATCAATTTCAGCTATCTATTCCAACCAAAGTTTATTTATGGTAGAAATCTCTTTCTTCACGACATAAAACATACGTAGCGCACATACCAAAATCGTCTCAATCATTAAAAAATTCCTCCGGTTTTCCCCTACGTCACAATTTTAGAAGACGAAACTGCTGCTGCAATGTTTTATATGCATTATAAATACACGATATTAATGACACGAGGAAAATTAATAAAGGCTCGGTATATCGCTTTTTTGCAGAGCTGAAGCCGTCTCTATCCGTCACTGAGCAAAACCTGGCAGACCGAGTTCGGTACATCCTGCGCTCCAACATATTTGTTGACGCCGAATTCGAACGACTACGGCGTGAGGCTGTTTCCTCATCGGATTGAAATGCTACGTCTGGGAATGCGGCGCCACTAATTGCGCAGCAAAGTGCATATGTAGATGCTGCCGTTGATATTCTATTTGTAGTTGATTCAGATAATGATGGAATAGTCTCCCACAAACTAGAGAAAATGAGGAGCATATTGGAAGAGTCAATGCTGCAAACGCGCAGTACACCTCTAGAAAATCGATCGCGACTTCACGGCATACCCCTAAGCAAGCGGAATCGGGCTTTCATGCGGGCTCTTAACCCAATGCTGGTGACCTATTTGGAAGCCAACTGGACCTTTGCGAGATGGACTCAATTATTTTTGGCGCCACACTGGCAGTATGCCGTATTATTGGCGCCAAACTTCCCATGGCTGGATGTGCTTCTCGACAAAATAGTACCATCCCAGCTTGGAGAAAAAGAATCGAGGACCGTATCGCAAAGTCAAGGGCACTTATCGGCAGACTGACAAGCTGCAGTTCGGGTAATAATAGACCGAGGGTTGTGCGCACAAATATTAGTTTGTCCCAGACGGATATCACGCAGAAACTAACGCGCGCATAGATGACCTGAAGCAAAAAATCGCTGCTTGGGGGAAGCGGATTCGACGATTTAGCGAGAGGTCAAGGCGGTTCAACCAGAATCGTCTCTTCCAGAGTGATCAGAAGAGGCTCTATAAATCATTGGAGAGACTAGAGGTATATGGAGCGAGCCCAGGACCGGATCAGGCTGACACTGTCGCATTTTTGCGTGGCCCTGGTCAGAGCCCATAAACCACAGCGAGGGCCCTTAGATGGAAGTTGCGGCGAGCCAGAGTGCGAGTGTTACGCCCATGGATCCCGTCATCATAACGCCGGAAGATGTGGCTGAGGCGGTCCGTAGAACCCCAAACTGGAAAAGTCCGGGGCTCGACGGGCTGCATCATTACTGGCTGAAGGGGTTCGTAGTGTGTCACGCTGTGCTAGCCCGACAGTTTCAACAGGCTCTCGATCAGAAGTCGCTCCCGAGCCTCTTCACTACTGGGATCACTCACTTGGTTGGTTGGATACCACAGACCCGAGCAAATACCGCCCCATCACGTGTCTACCCACCATATATAAGACACTGACATCTATTTCGAGCGCGTAAATCACTCGTCATCTCGAGCTAAATCAGGTGATGTCACGCGCTCAAAATGGATGTCGGGGCGGTGATCGTGGAACCAAGGAACCACTCCTCATTGACGCGGTCATTGGCAAAGCGGTGAAACGCAACCGTCGGAACTTCTCCGCCGCCTGGATAGACTACAGAAAGGCATTCGACTCGGTGCTCCATATATGGCTAAAGGCAGTCCTCGAGCTGTACAAGATTGACTATACAGTTAAAGACTTCCTCGGGCAGTGTATGGGGCAGTGGAGTACGATCTTTTGTCATCTGGGCGATCGGATGATGGCTGCGCAGAACCGTATAAGGGTAAGAAGGTACCCTCTCAGTACCTTACTGGAGGGCTCCGGGAGGGGATTTCAGCTACGGAAGAGAGGGACAAAGTTGACCCACCCTTTCTATATGGATGACCTCAAATTAATCGCCTGCAGTCGCTCCCATTTTATGGAATTGCTAAACATCACTTCCGAATTTAGCAATTCTATTGGAATGGAGTTGAGCACGGATAAGTGTGCGGTCCTCCATGTTGAAAGTTGTGTTGCTAACTATGAGGGCATTGACTTATCTATGTCCGTCAACTTAAGGACCCTTTCCAAAGCTGAAACATACCAATACCTGGGCATGTCACAGAATATCGGTATCGATGAGGCTGGTATGAAACAGTCAGTTTGCGACGTGTTTTATGCACGCTTGACCGAAGTGCTTTACAGCCTTTTGTCCGGTGTGAATAAGCCACACGCATATAACGGTTGAGTCATGCCTGTCCTTATGTTTACCTTTGGCATACTCAGTTGGACTCTGAAGTATGCCAAACTAAATTGACTACTAAATCTCCCGGAAAAAAAAGTCCGAACTACTATAACGTCCCATAGGATGCATCATCCGAGATCGTCGGTAATGAGGCTGTACTTGCCACGAAATCATGGTGGGCGGGGCTTTCTGAGCGTGCTCACCATGCATAATCGTGAAGTGTGCAGCCTCCGTCATAACTTCCTGGCGAGATCGTATGATCCATTCTATAAGGAGGTAATTTTTTGTGATAAATGACTTACCCCTCTATCCTTAGCCAACGAGCAATGGTAAGACCCGGCAGTGCAGAGCATTTCCGACCGGGAGACCGTATGGAAGGAGAAGGAGCTCCACGGGAGGTTCTACACGGCTCTACATGAGCCTTTCGTAGACACAGTAGCCTCCCTCCACTGGCTACGCTTTGGTGACCTCTTCGGGGAAACCGAGGATTTTGTCTGTGCAATACAGGATTAGGTTATTAAGACCAACAACTATCGGAGATACATTTTAAAGGATGGCACCGTCGACATCTGTCGAGCTTGGCGCCATCCCGGCGAATCATTTAGGCATGTCATCTCCGGTTGTTCGGCGCTTTCTAACTCTGAGTACTTGCACAGGCACAACCTAGTAGCCAGAATTCTACACCAGAACCTCGCTCTGAAATATGATCTCGTGGACCGGAACTTGCCGTATCACAAGTACGGGACCGGGCCATCATTCCAGACAGGCTTATTCTTGCGAATAAACCTGATATTGTGCTGATGGACCGGGCACAGTCAAAGATATTTTCAGTTGACATTACCATTTCGTATGACGAGAACCTCGTGAAAGCCGAAACAGATAAGCAATCAAAATATCTGCACCTGGCTCACGAGGTAACCGACATGTGGGGTGGTCTGCCGGCCGAAATTATTCCTGTAATCGTCTCTGTGAATTGGCTAATCCCAGTCATCGTGACGGACCGCTCCGGGGTCAAATGCAGAAGGCGATGCTTCTCGATACCGCCTGCATCGTCCGCGGGTTTCTTTCCCTTTCCCCCTGACCTTCGGCCGTTTGGTCTCCTCTGCCGAGGGCTTCCATCTGGTTGGGCTTTTATTTATTTATGTATTATTTATTTATTTATGTTAGTATATTAAATATATATTTATGTATATTTATCATTTCCTTTTATATATTTATTCAGCCTAACCAGATGTGAATACTCTATCAATAACCTCAATAATAATAATAATTTATTTAACTCTAAATTTACTGGTTATACTTATGTATTATATCTATTTTAAATTACAAAATTACATTTCCAAGTATTTGGCGAAAACGTCTGCGGCGGCGCTGTTGTCGCACCGCAAGCGAAACACACCGAAGCTTAAATCACGCTATTAACATTCCGAATCATAAACAGTATATATAGAACATCTCCGAACTATCACACGGAGTGTTGGCCGCTCCCCAGGCAGAACACAGTCCATACTAGTATAGACTGTGTTACAGCCGTCAGCGTCTTGCACCCTTTTTTTTAACACGGGGAAATGCCTACGCATACCCGCCTCGCGGGGGCATGGACGGGTTATGTCGGACTCGCACCGACTAAAACCCCATGGTGTTCCACCTTCGTCGCATACTGGCAGGGCTACGGGAACGCTTTCGCACACTTCCGCGGCCCTACCAGTGACTGCCGCCCCATGGCAGCACCTCCTCGGGAGAGGAATATTCCTCCCCGTTCTCCTTCCCAAGTAAGGCGCACCAGAACACATGGCACGCCTTCCTCCACGGCCTCCAATTGCATCTGCGCAACAGACGCCCCCGCGTCCGATGCGCGAAGGCCATGAGGCCAGGAAAAACGAGCACTTAGAAGTACTAGCCTTCCCGACCCCAGCGGTGGATCTGGTCTATGGCTCCGCCGCCAACCAAGATTCGGCTGCGGAGGATAGGGAGAGCGGCGCCTCGCAATACCGACAATCCTCTCCCCCCGCAGCCCCATCACCACCGCATCAACAGTGCGGCCCCGTTTGAGTCGCGGAGGATAGGGCGAGTGGCGCATCGTCATACCAACACTCCTCTTCCTCCGCGACTCCACCTCGGCTGCAGCGGTAGAGGGTGCGGAGTCCCCACTCGCTGCAGTCCACCAGCACACATCCGAAGTGGGCTCCCCAAGCCCACTCGGAGCGGCCACCTCAGGCCGGCCCTTCACCTCGGGCCAGCCACGTGGGTTCCTCTTTGTTCACCGTGGGAGACCAAGCCATGGCTACTAAGCGTCTTGCACCCTGAGTAGTACAATACATATACAGTAAAAAATTACAGATTATTTTGCTATATAATACACAAACATGTTAAGTTATATAAAAAATAAAAAAATGAAGAGAAAACTGTGTGTGTGTGTGTGTGTGAATGCGTGCGTGCGCGCGTGCGTGCGTACATGCGTGCGTGCTTGCGTGCGTGCTTGCGTGCGCGTGAATTTCGTACTAATTTAAGCATATGGCAATGATCAAGAAAAAAGTATATTTGTTGCCCTGAAGATGAAATGAATCTAAGATAGTAGTTTGCAGTCGATCTGGGTTCAAGAAGCAGCCCAACTCTTCCCACCATGCTGAGATTGGTTTTTGTACCATCACATCATGTCAACGCCTTTATTTCGATGCCAGTTTCGTGAACAAGATAGAAAGCTTGTGTTTCTAGCCGCGCTTTTAATTCAGCGCTCGTACCCTTAATCAAAAAGTTGGCTATGGATACTTTCCATGTTGTGTTTATCAACTATCGGATATCAAATCTAACCCATAATCGACGTGATAATGCCTTTGGCTGCTAGCATGGTATTCCGTCAATTGCTTAATTTTCATTTCATCCAGGACCAAGGTACAATAATTTTTTTTATCGGGGTTACCCTCCGCTCTCAATTTTAATGCCGTCAGCGCTTCTTGAGTAAACCCTGGTCGGCCATCGATGGTACTGTACCACTTAGTCAAAGTCCGTGGTGCAGTCAAACATGTTCCAAATGTTTTACGTGCATAGCGATATGCTTTTGGTGAGTAATCATTAATTGTTAGGGCAAAACATCTTAATTCTTGGGAATATTTGGTTCTGGGCCGTTTTCCAGTCTTACTTTTGAGTAATTGTCTATTTAATAGTTCACTTTCTTCAATTCATATCTTTTCTAGAACCTGTTTGTTTCTTTATTAATCAAAGAGGTCTCTGTCAGCGAATCTAGTATTTTTTGCAAATTT